AATTACAACCGCTTCTTAATCTTGAGTTAATTACATTTGTTTCACTATATGTTATATGGAAATATATGGTTACACTGTACACATTGACATAATATTTAGCGATCTATCTTAATCCTTGTTGCCAGAGAACTGAAAGTTTGCAACCACAAAAATTGTACAACGATGATAAGATGTTGGTAATAAGGAGAAGGAGAAGGAGAAGGAGAAGGAGAAGGAGAAGGAGAAGGAGAAGGAGAAGGAGAAGGAGAAGGAGAAGGAGAAGGAGAAGGAGAAGGAGAAGGAGAAGGAGAAGGAGAAGGAGAAGGAGAAGGAGAAGGAGAAGGAGAAGGAGAAGGAGAAGGAGAAGGAGAAGGAGAAGGAGAAGGAGAAGGAGAAGGAGAAGGAGAAGGAGAAGGAGAAGGAGAAGGAGAAGGAGAAGGAGAAGGAGAAGGAGAAGGAGAAGGAGAAGGAGAAGGAGAAGGAGAAGGAGAAGGAGAAGGAGAAGGAGAAGGAGAAGGAGAAGGAGAAGGAGAAGGAGAAGGAGAAGGAGAAGGAGAAGGAGAAGGAGAAGGAGAAGGAGAAGGAGAAGGAGAAGGAGAAGGAGAAGGAGAAGGAGAAGGAGAAGGAGAAGGAGAAGGAGAAGGAGAAGGAGAAGGAGAAGGAGAAGGAGAAGGAGAAGGAGAAGGAGAAGGAGAAGGAGAAGGAGAAGGAGAAGGAGAAGGAGAAGGAGACGGAGACGGAGACGGAGACGGAGACGGAGACGGAGACGGAGACGGAGACGGAGACGGAGACGGAGACGGAGACGGAGACGGAGACGGAGACGGAGACGGAGACGGAGACGGAGACGGAGACGGAGACGGAGACGGAGACGGAGACGGAGACGGAGACGTTACCTGGGGACCTCCGGCTATCGCGTAATTTTTGTTGTTAATTGTGTCCTCGTTCCAAATACGTAAAGAATTAAGCGCTCATAATCGTTTATAATCGCTTATATACCCCGCTTACATAATCGCTTATATACCCCAAATAAATCAAATCAAAACATATTTTGATCATAGTTTTAAAATGCGTCAAAAAGCGCTTTTCATCGTTTATAATCGCTTATAAGCGACAATTGAAGACAATAACATTTACGATACTTTATAATCACTTATAATCGCTTATAATATCTCGTACCTGACAATTTTTTCCTCGTTTCAAATACGTAAAAAAGCGCTTATAATCGTTTATAATCGCTTATAGACAGCAAATAAATAAGCGCTTATAAACGCTTTTCAGTAGGAAAATTTCAAGAAAAGCGGTTATAAGCGCTGATCATAGTGAAAATATCGCTTTTTAGCAGATTTCAAAAAATCGCTTATTGTCGCTTATAATCGTTTTATAATCGATTTAAACCGCTTATTAACTTAAAATAAAAAAGCGTTTTTTTAACGATTAGTAGGCGCTTTTTAATTTGGAACTTTCCCTAGTGAATATAATCGCTTATAGTCGATTAAAAGCGTTTTAAAAACGGTCCAAAAAACGGTTTATAAGCGTTTTTTTGAAAAGCGCCTACGGAGCGATAATAATCGCCAACCCTAAAATAAAAGCGTTTTTTTATCACTAATAATTTTAATTCGCGATTTATTATCGCTTTTAAAGCGCTAATAATCGCTTTTGCAAAAAAAATTTATGGAAAAAGCGATTATAATCGTTTTTAATCGTTTATTAACGGGACCGTTTATAATCGCTTTATAATCGCCAAATAACGGTGGGTTTTATCAATAAGCGCTTTTTTAGCGTAAAAAAAGCGGTTATTACCGCTGATCACAAAAAATTAGTTATGGAAACTTGCCACTTATATGGTGAAAATTGTGTTTTTATTTTAGTTTGATGAGATCAAGAAAAGATTTGTCAAGATCGCAACCTCAGATGAAAAATCAAATTTTATTAGTTAATCTAGAAAAATATTAATATTTGTAATAATTTGTCTTAGAAGCAACACTTAATCCTAAGACACTGTTTATGACAAAAAGTCGTGTCATTTAAATCCTAATAATAAACAATCAAACCATTGAATATAAATCTGAAATCAAAAGGTCTATCTTTAGAAAATGCATGATAATTTCATTTTTCTAACTCTTTTCCTTGTGCCATTTCCTACTCACGAGCCAACATCACGCTACTTCCTACTCACGAGCCAACATCACGCTACTTCCTACTCACGAGCCATCCCCACGCTACTTCCTGACCACGGTCATCCCCACGCCAGTGCAGTATTGAAAATATCACTCACGTGAACTAACATATTGACTACATCTCAATATATTTAGATACCTACTCTATAAGATACTCTATAAGATCCCTGTAGAGCACCTTAATGCAATAAATATGCCATCTATTAGGTTCAAGGTTGACAGGTCCATCTGCTTATATATAACCTTATAACATCTCACTACTGTTACTAACTTTTCCTTTAAAGTTCCCTATTAGGGTAGAGGTTATTATGCCAGAGAGATATCTTACCAGATATTGCAAAACAATTTATTCCGTCAGGGTTTCCACGCACAGAGCCTGTCGATATTTCAGATTCCGAATGCCGTGGTAGCTCAAATTTTAATTACGCCAGCATTGTGATTTTACTTTTTTGATGGAATAAAAAACAAATAAAAGTAAAACATGTCTAGAATTAGCTTAGTTACGATAAATTGTCACTTATCTGCTCTTAATATAACAATTAGAGGTCGGATAAGATGATTTTTTAATTGTTAGAATATCGTTTAAAATGTAAGAATTGTTTAAAATTATATCCTTTTGTTGCAGAGTAGAAATATTCAGTTGGATTTCGATGGTTCGTATATTTTACTGGAGGAAGCGTTTTTGCGAGCCGTACAAATTATATCCACTGTACCAAAAACTGAAATTTGTTTAGCAGTTTTCAATTCCAACTCCAAAAAGAAATTGTCCTACACTTTTTTGACAATTGTAGAGTGCAGCTTACATTCGGGCGTTCAAAAGCTTAATTTATAAATTATAATTATAATAAATTATGGCATCTCATTTTGCCATGTAAATGTAATTGATAGACATTGGACAACTACGTGATTCCATAAATTTTACCGCCGCTATGAGTATATTATTGCCTTATAAGGGCATTTTAAAAATATACGTCACCTCATTCTTCAAAATACGAAGAATGGGGTTGGGGAAAGGTTTGATGGTTTAACCGTTGGTTAGTTGACATTAAATATTACAAATATTTGAGTAAGAGTACCGCGGTTTCGCAACCATAAATACTGAGACTTTTCCTGTATAACTCACTTACTACGATATTCTGCAACTACAGGTTATTCAGGTCTAATTATTTTGCGAATCTCCAGCATCTCTGGAACAAAAGGTGGATTAGTGGATTACTTATCAGCTGATAAGTTTGGTAACTCGTAACATCGCCACCTTTGTCTTTGATAGCTACCTTAAATATGCACTGTTGAAAGAATCAGGGATTATTAACGTAGTCATTCACAACGAACTTGGTGATTAGTCTATTAACTTTGATCGGTGACTCGGTGTATGGTGTTTTAGCTTTGACGAAAGCGATGATTTGCGTCTATTATATTAGAAATGAATAATGTAGTTTAGCAATAATGTCAGCATTATGATATTGAGATGTCTTAAATGCGTTTACTATCATTTGTTAAATGAATCCACTTTTAGAGCTGATGAAAGCAATGATTTATATTCTGTATAAAATAAACAGTTATTGCAATTTAACTTGAATGTCAGTAATAGCACTTGGACTGAGTTTATATCCTTTTGTTATCTTATTAATGTTAGCTTATCATGATACACTATTACTATTGACTTTTGCTTTATTCCCCCAAAAAGTTCTCAACTGATAAGCAGGAGCATTATTAATCAAACATTAACAAGTGAACCGCTCTTAATTCTTATTATTATATATTCTAATGTATATTTATACATCATGAAAATTGAACAGTATTTATTGAATACTGCCTAACCCAAAGTTTAATTGTTGTAAATTATTCAGAGTATCGATCACTGCATTAAAGAACACTAAATCGATTATAAACCCTTATAAAGGAGGGGCATTGTACTACTGTACTATTCGTCTCTCAACAACTCAACAAGGCACATCAATTTTCAAATTAAACTTAATACAAATTATACATAATCCAAGGCTTGAAATCTATCGAAAATGTTCAGTGTTCACTGTTCACTGTTGCCTAAACTATTTACAGTTCTCACGCCGGTCAACATTTCTCGATATTCCTATCATCCAGATTATCACCAATAAGGTAATCCGATGGCGGGAAGCTGTCAAGGTGAGATTACTGCTTGAAGGTTTAGGCCTCTGACGTTAATTCAATCTTAAATTCATGGAATTCTTGTTTGTGGTAATCCTTTAAATTTTGTAAATATAGCTAGTCGTGATTTTTCCACGTCAGTTCATTTCTCCTGACCATCCTTTTATATTTAAAGAAATGTCATTTTTAAAGTTTTCAAAACAGCTGATAGGAATAGAACGAGAGCTTATTGGTCCAGTCACAAGTGAATAGATGTTTGAGTAATTTTCAATGCTGCTATTCAGAAATGTGTTTATTTACAATCAGAGATGAGGTGATTAGATTGAATGAAGATTGCATGAAATATGCAAACTTTCACATGTACAGCTTGACAAAATGGAATGAATTTCACCACAGCAAAAACTTCATCAAACTAACTGGTTGTCTAAAAGTTGTTCAGCTCGCTGATTGGCCCAAGTCGATCCTACCGTTTCCATTTACATGTTTATTGGCTAACTCCGCCAGTTTAACTTCCCGGTTTTACATCTAAATGACTGTTTAACTTTTTTTTAACTGTTTAACTTTTTTTTTGACGTGTTTGTTCCCGATATATATCTTAACTCAATTTAGTTTATTGTTGTCACTCCGGTTTCTGCACAAGCACAAGTTTGATTCAAAATGAACAATATTATATACTTTAATTTCAAGAAACTAACCAAAGTATTCTCCAATAGCTGCACGGTTTGACGTGCAAAAGAGATATGAACGGAACAGAACCTGCACCCTCTAACAAGGGCATAAGTCATGAGGTGGACATCTTCTTCGGAGTTTTGGAGCTGTGTTGCAGCCTAGGTGGGCTCTCTCTCAATGTTTGCACAGTCCGGTTCTTCTTCAAGAAGAAGGCTTCTCCCACTTACTTTCTTTACCTCTGCATTGGTGAGCTTTATACTGCTGTTTAGTGTTTAGGTCCGATATGAGATCTTATCAGTAATTTATGTGTTTTACACTACAACGGATCAATATTTTTATAATACTTTACTAAAATTTACTAATATCTGGATCACTTATAGTTATATCATCACAAACCATTATAATTTAATCATAATTACCAAGAAAATTTTCTTACACCAAACTTCATCTCGAATACCAGATTTAAAACATGGTACTCCGCAGTTCTGATAGATATGCTGACGTGTCTGTTTGTGTTCCCCTCCGCTGTCAGTATGTTGTACAACAGAGAGCCGGTTATCTTCTCCAGTCCTCTCCTCTGCATCGTCTCTGGGTGAGGAACATTTTCATTTTGTCTTTAGACCTATCTTGGTCCTAAAAGATTTTAGCACGTCTCAGCTTATCCTGCTTATATACAGTAAAACTCCGATTTACCGCAAACCCTGATTAACCTAGGCTATTTAATTCCTTTTTCCCCAAACTTCTCGGTAAATCGGAGCTTTACTGTAATATTTTGTTTTTTAGTTTTCTAATGAATGTCAAAAATCTCTTAATTTAATTTTTTGGACGTTCCGTATAATTTATTTGTTAATTCACTATTGAGTGCCGTGGGATAAAAAGTTTAAACCGTGAATAGTAAGGTATTGCGAGGGATCCAGTATTTCAGGGGTGGGGTTTAATGTAGAGTGCATAACTCAGCAGATCGGTGCAGGGCATCCAATAACGGTGCAGGGTATCCATATTTAGCACTCTCGGTATGGAGCCTTTAAATATCTCGTCCACATATTAAGCATAAACGATCAATATTTGGTATGGAGAAATATTGAGATGGTCTAAAACTGCTTTGTAGAATTTTAATATATCCTTCGCATATAAACGGTGTTTTCTTCGAATAGCCTGCACAGATTATGCGGAGGACATTTGACAAGTCTGATATTTCTAAAATGAGTATTTAAAGTGTGAATTATTGAATCTTCAAATGAGTGAGCTGGTTAGGGCGCTTTTTGGAAGACATATCAGGTTGTCTTTAAATGTGTGCTTTCCCCATAGTGTGGTGTTATGATAACTGAGAATGAACCCCAAATGTATGATAGGTCTATCTGATCACAGTGTAACAGTCTCTCTATTCAGGTGGGTGTTGAACATCACCAACAGAATGTCAGTGTACTTGGTGGCAGTTCTCTCTGTGATCAGATGTTTCACTATTGCTCCTAGTTTCACTTCACCCTCACTTCGACATGCTGTTATACCTGTCCTTATCTATCTCGTCATTCAGGTATGATAAAAACTAATTGCATTTGCCGTCGACTAGACTGAGTTAACTTGCTCCACTTTACATTTATTTACTATCATGTTCTGATTTATTGAAGTGGTGAGACAACAAAATAAACTCTTTTAACCACTCCCTCTTATTTCAGATCGGTCAAGCTTCTCTTCCTCTGGTTTCCAGCACTCAAAGTCCCCCTATTTACTATAAAACGGAAGTAGGAGGCTGCTCGTGGGGTATTAACGACCTCAGTTTTGCGCCTTACGAGGAAGGGAATGGAGTGTGGTACCGGTTCCTCCTCTACTTCTGTCTTATCCTGCCCTCCTTCCTCCCCATCTTCCCTGTGGTGGTCTCCTGCATTATATTCGTCAAGATCGTCCTGACCAGCAAGCAAAAGGTTAAGAGCTACAAAGTGGAGTCCTGCAATAGCACAGTCAACAATACCATCTCCTTGAACACCAACCCGGGTGTGAAAAACAAACGCAACGACGATCACCACTCCTCCAAAGAGAAGTCCTTTGCCACAGCAGAACTATCCAGTATGAACTCTAACATGGAACAACCCCGGAAGAAGCGAGGAGGAGGAGCAGATGTGGCTCACCAAGCTACCACTACGATGTACATCGTCACCGCTCTGTACATCATATTTAACGTTCCGTTCTGGAGTTTCACTCTGGCGGTGATGTTCTTCCATGCTGACCACATTACCTGGGTCACCACTAACGGGATATACATTAACATTTTCCTCTCACGGACAAGTGTGGTCATGAACGCTGCTTGTAATCCGATTGTGTATTTTGCCAGAATTCGTGCACTCCGCAAGGATTGGAACGCCAAAAATCTTAGGAAGCTAAAGTGCGCTTTTTCGGTGAGATTCCTGGGATGGAACTATTGGAGACGATACTATGATTCTCCCTTACAGGGAAGGACTGTTTGAACAATTGTTCGTTTGAATTCAAAACTGTGAACTTTTCTGATCATTGGTTATACTTATACCTGGGGACCGCATGTTATAATGTATAATGTTCATAAACATAGAATAGAGATTCGGCGGAATGACAGGCTGAGCGCCGCCCAGTAAATCATTGGTTATTTTATAAAACGTGATCAGCTAACTTATTTAATTTGACTTGAAAGCTTTCTGCCAAGAGTTTTTTGAATGATTAAACTAATGTGGCTTGCCCCGTTATTTTTATCAATGGTTGGGTTTCCGAAGCTAAGAAGGATTTGATGGGCAACATGAATCATGATCATTAGACTGTATATTTCTAGCCAGTTGCAGAGCTCAGTGCTCACCCTGGGACCTGGGTAGCCAGTATCTTAGCCAGCAGCCTGTCCAGTGTCCACCTTAGGCTTAACTATCGAGAGCCATTCACAACACTAATATAATTTTAGTCATAGGTCATGTATAATGTATATGTAGAAGTGTCAACCACTTTCTCCAGAGTCCAGAATTGTCCTTATTATATAAACCACCACGAATATTAAAAGATATGTTGCCAAAGTGACGCCTTGCACCTCGGAGCTCACCGGCTAAGATCTAAAATATCGGACGGGATCACTTTGGCCTGGGTTTAACTTTAAGCGCAAATTATTTGGAGGCCATCGATCTTGCCTTGTTATAGTTATAAGTTTGCCATCAAGATCTTTATTAGTAGACCAAAATGAATGCTGCCCAATACTCTTTTGGAGTCAATAGACATCATTGTATCCGCCAAATTCTTTGTTGTATTCTTTGCTCTAATTCTTTGAGAATTATCCCCCTGTAGTTTAGCCTTAGGTGGGGTTCACCTTCTTAGAAACAGATACATGTTTTCTAACGGGATAGTGAACTGAGTGGTTGTCTCTGAGGACTAGAAAGCTATCCCATGAAACTCAGAAAGGAATTGCTTAATGCTCGTGACTGTGTAAACAAATATAATTAGGACTTTTGAACTTTTATTACCTCCGGAATTTCGCTGAGAATGTATATTTAGTATTTACCCGTCGGGCTGCGCAGAAATACCAGAAATGCTGCATAATAATTAATTCCAGTGTGTTCATAAGTTGATATAAGTTCATAGTTGTCTAATCACGGTCATTGACCGGTTTTAAATTGTCACATGATTTGCAGTAGATTTACTTTTGTTTTATTGGATTTTATCCTAAGTGTCATTTTTAAATAAATGTTAATTGTTGGGGAGAACTGACAGTGTTGAAATATCTGAATACTGAACTTGAAATGATCTCAGTATTTTTGATACTCCGATTTATTTAAGTTATTTAAGACTCCTATTCAAAATAAAAGCTGTAATATTGTTGTGAAACATTTATTTTTTATGTTTAAAGAAATTTATCGGTTTTGAATATTAAATATGCACAGGATTGCCCTTGGGCGTATTATTTATTGCGGTTGCTCTTATTCTAGATGGTGACCCTGTGGCTGCGAGTAAAGGTTTTGATAATGCAATTCTACAAAACCGCTCAACCAACATTTTCATTTATTTTCAGAAAATGTCCTGAGAGCAATAGCATGTTATTAACTTGAATAGATTTTATTTTGAATTGGATGTTAATTGGGGGGGGGTCAACCTCATTTTACCTCATGAGGCCAGCCAAAAAAGGCAAAATTGGGATGAGGTAAAATGAGGTAAAATGAGGTAAATAAATCTAGTTTTCTAAGCCTTTTTTAGAGACAAAAAAGGTTTATTCGAAGTCATTATACTATAATTCGAGGCTGTGCATGGTCTCCCATGATATTTAATGGTTTATTAGGGGTGATGTGGTCCCTGGGAAGGGGCATTCCCAGTTTAACCTACTTACTCTCCAAACTTGGGGTAAATAAAACTTCGCATTATAATTATTATTTATGAAAAGAAAATTGAACATTTCAATTTCCATGATCCATTAGGAAATTGTTAATAGCACTTGCTAAGTTTTGTAAAGGAATTAGCAATAACTTTAGTGTCACTTTGGCAGTTGCCAATTTATTGGGATATTTCCGCATTGCATGACATGGACCATTTAAATAATATCTTAATGATTTAATATTGCGATTATTATTAAACAAATTGTGTCTAACTAGACCAAATGTATACAACAGTTGTGCATGGAACTGGATTGGATATCTACATGAATTTAGTCGAAATTGCATAGTGAAAGGTCATTTCATAATAAATTACTCGTTTAAACTCATACTTCATACAATTCTAAGTTCTTATGTACATGTTCAATGTTCATGATTCGCTGTAGAATAAAGGGCGGTTCACAAAACCACTTTTCATTTAAATAATTAGATATCACCTCTAATTAGTTGCTCTATGGGGTCGGGAACAACCAAAATTTTTTTTTGTGTCTACGGTTTCGTATAATACTGACTTGGGCCACGCCTATATTTTTCACCAATTTTTAACTGGTAAAATTCTCTAAATCGTCAATTTAGTCACGAAGGAGTATGGAAGGAGTTCTAAATGTGTGCTCCTCTAAAATAAACAGTAGGAAATGGTTAACTTTAGTCGAGGTCTCAGGTCTCTACAATGTCGGGAAGTTCCTGCAGGAATTTGCGCATTGCGCTGAAGCGCAAGATTCACAGCGCCAAAAGCGAAGGTCGTAGAGACATGAGACCTTGACTAAAGTTAACCATTTCATACCATTGCTATAAGAGTATGCAACTTTCAGAGTCCTGAACACACTCCTACAGCTCTTAATCGTCAATTATATGAATTTTACCTGTTTAAATATATCATCTTTAACTGATATCAATTTAGTTTAACACTGTTAGTTTTAAAAAAGAACATAATACTTCACACCAAACTAACGCACAATATGATAATATAAAAAAGGAAGGTTTTCCTTGGATTCCAAATTCAACTTTGATTATATATCCTGGCACTGATTATCATTTTTCGATTGTTCTCCATTTTCCAATGCAGTCAGCAAGTTCCAATTTAGGTAGACTAGGTTTTCGAATCTTCATATTATGTTCAGAAGCAGGCCAGAAGGGGTTGTTACCAGAGGAATATCTTCTTGGAACAAGGGAATTAATGAGTACTTCATTTATTTCTTCATAACTCGTCACTGACAGTCCGGACAGGATGAGCATTGACGAGATCCATTATGATTACTTCATAGCTCGTCATTGATAGGATCAGTATTAAATGAGGTCGAATGATTACTTCATAGCTCGTCACTAACTGGAACAGCATAACATGACTAACAACTAACGAGGTCCAGTGATCTCTTGCTGATACGTCAAGACAAGATCAGTAAATAGCTAAAAATATCGAAATAATTAGCTTAGAAATTACAGAGTACAAATGCCTTTTTCACAACTAACTCTTTGGCCTCATCTTTTTAAATCACTCATTCCCTCTGAAACAAGATAATGCTTAGAACTAGGAGGAACTTAGTTAACTTCTTGTATGATTCGGTAAGAGAAAAATTCCTTAGTAAGCTAACATTCTTTTGTAGGATGTTACCACTTATCATATCTGTTATCCAGCATAATCCCACAACTAAACCCTCTTATTCTTGAGTCTTGACAATGACAGCAGCAATGTACACTATTTTGATGCTCGATCCAGGTCTCCAAGAAAACCTTCCTTTTTATATTCTCATATTGTGTGTTAGTTTGGTGTGAAGTATTATTTTCTTTTTAAAAACTAACAGTGTTAAACTAAATTGATATCAGTAAAAGATGATATATTTTAACAGGTAAAATTCATATAATTGACGATTAAGAGATATGGGAGTGTGTTCAGGACTCTGAAAGTGGCATACTCTTATAGCAATGGTATGAAATGGTTAACTTTAGTCAAGGTCTCATGTCTCTACGACCTTCGCTTTTGGCGCTGTGAATCTTGCGCTTCAAGTGCAAATTCTTGCAGGAACTTCCCGACATTGTAGAGACCTGAGACCTCGACTAAAGTTAACCATTTCGTACTGTTTGTATTAGAGGAGCACACATTTAGAACTCATTACATACTCCTTCGTGACTAAATTGACGATTTAGAGAATTTTACCTGTTAAAATTTTTGCCGAGATTTACCTCATTTTACCTCATGAGGCCAGCCAAAAAAGGCAAAATTGGGATGAGGTAAAATGAGGTAAAATGAGGTTGACCCCCCCCCTTAATTCCAAATACCCCATTATGACAATGGGTTTAATTGCTTCCCTTAGGGTAAAACTGTTTTTGAGCTTTGGCAAGTTTAGTCTACTAGGGCAAGTTTCCATTTATAAACGATATTTTATGATCGGCGCCGATAATCGCTTATTGAGCGCTTTTTCGGCGCTTTTTAAAAAAAAACCGTTTACAATCGCTTTTTTTACGATTATAAACGGTTTATAAAAAAATCGCTTATAATCGACTATAATTGATGTCATAATTCAAAAAAGCGCTTTTTTTAATTTAAAAGCGCTTATAAGCGCTTTTAAGCGCTTACTTTAAGCGATTCGTAGGCGCTTTTAAGCGCTTACTAGCGTCGCTGAGCGATTTGAAAGCGGTTTTCCAGTAGGATTGGCGCCAAAAACGGGTGGATAAGCGGTTGGCCGGATAAGCGATTCGTAGGCGCTTTTTTGAACCATTTATAAGCGATTATAAGCGCTTATAATTGGGGTTCAATTTAGCTGTTTGTAAAGCGCAAATAAAGCGCTTATAAGCGCTTTTAAAATTGAGTCAGGAAAACGCTAGGTATATTACATCTTATAACCGCTTATAATTGATTATAAGCGTTTTTTTAGAAATCGCTTATTACGGCTAATTCATCGCTATTTCACCGCTTTTACCGCTTTTCCTATCATCCATGGCCAGGTGAGCAGGAATTAAAAAGCGCTTATAAGCGCTTTTTCGATGCTGTCCCTAACCTGGTCGGAACGGGGTAGTGCCCGGAATTTAAAAGCGCTTATAAGCGCTTTTTCAATGCCGCCCCTAACCTGGTCTGAACGGGGTGGTGCCCGGAATTTAAAAGCGCTTATAAGCGATTTCTCAATTCCCCTTAACCTGGTCGGAACTTGCATGTGCTTTTCTGAGCAACCTGGGGTGCACCGGCAGAGTCAGGATTTAAAAGCGCTTATAGGCGCTTATGATCGCTTTTCTACCACTTTTCCTATCACCCATGGCCTGGTTGGCAAGAATTATAAAGCGCTTATAAGCGTTTTTCAATGCTGCCCCTTACCTGGTCGGAACAGGGGAGTGCCCGGAATAAAAAAAAGCGCTCATAAGCGCTTTTTAAATGCTGCCCCTAACCTGGTCGGAACTGGAAATCAGAGTGCCCGCTTATAAGTGCTTTTCTGAGCAACTTGGGGTGCACCGGCAGAGTCAGGATTTAAAAGCGCTTATAGGCGCTTATGATCGCTTTTCTACCGCTTTTTCTATCACCCATGGCCTGGTTGGCAAGAATTATAAAGCGCTTATCCGGCCAACCGCTTATCCACCCGTTTTTGGCGCCAATCCTACTGGAAAACCGCTTTCAAATCGCTCAGCGACGCTAGTAAGCGCTTAAAAGCGCTTAAAAGCGCTTATAAGTGCTTTTAAATTAAAAAAAGCGCTTTTTTGAATTATGACTTCAATTATAGTCGATTATAAGCGATTTTTTTTAACCGTTTATAATCGTAAAAAAAGCGATTGTAAACGGTTTTTTTTTAAAGCGCCGAAAAAGCGCTCAATAAGCGATTATCGGCGCCGATCATAAAATATCGTTTATGGAAACTTGCCCTACTAGGAGCTAATCTGTAGTCGAGAAAATAAAATGTCTAAGTTTGGATCAAGGTTTCGGTATTAATACTACAAAAACCAAAGTGACGTAACATTTACAAATTTTTGGGCAGATTTATCAAGACCACAACAATTTCGTTGACATATCATTTGTAATTATATGTAATTGTAATAATAACAATAATAATAAATTGAATTATAAACACTGCTTTTAAGTTGTAAAACTTTTACTCAGTAGTCATAGTGTGAGAACAACTACAAAAGAACAAACTGAGATAAGTGCCACAAAAACTCTATCCTAAATTAACAGCTCCTTCCCAGCAATACACGATATATTAATATTTAACTCAGTAACCTAGAGTAGCTTGTTAAATCATAATATTATTTGAAGAGGAACAAGCGGTTATTTTTAGTATTTTAGTATTTTAGTATTTTTAGTATTTTATTTCAGTCGCTATAAGTTATAGGCACATTAGTTAAGATGGAAATCGTAATAGTAGTTAAATTGTTTTTCATTTTGTGCTAAAATATGGAAGTTCTGGCGACATTTACAAGTTCTTTTGGCAATGTATAACTTAAACTACACGTATTTAAGCCGTAATTGAATACAGTAAAGATACAGTTAAACTGCGAAGGCACAACACCAAACCAACCTTACTCTATCTCCCAAAAACAACCTTCTCCTGGTCAGCCATGTCCCTCATCCTGCACTTGACCCCCGCAGAGGTCACAAGCCCATCGGAGCACAAATGAGCGAGAAACGGGGAAGCCTTAGCTACCGGGCTAAGGACTGCATCACTAGCAGCGAAATACGGATATACCCTCCCTTTTACATGCGTTCAACCGGCACCCGAACCACACGCTGTTTCTTAGACATAACTTCCCACTTACATCAGTGTCTTCTCGCATCAACTGGCATCGGCAAGTGGCGACACTGTGTAGACTCAACCCTGAGCTTGATCAGAATCTTCAGTCACAAACCTGACACCGTTTCGGGGCTTTCATTGCGATACGGTTTTCTGTCAGGTGCCCCAGCAGTCTCTCTTGGACCACCATCTGATCTGACAATCACCCGAGGATACCTGCTAGAGCTCGCGATTTACGACGAGTTAGCTTATGGCACCTCTGGCTGTTAGGTGAAGTCATAAAGCTCAAACAGCTCTCATCTCCCACTCTCTTTTCCTAGACAGCAGATAAATCCATCTTGAACAATGGGCTGCATCCTTCCCACAATCTCTGACCAACTTCTTGAGGGCTCTCCCAGTCAGACCAATCTTCCTTGATGCACACTCCAAACTTGCTGCGACAACACCTCTAGCACCAACCTCAACAGCAAAGCTGAAACATGACCACCCATTAGCTTGTATTTCCGCTTGTAGACTGTTATACCGATCAAGCTTCAGCTCATGGGATGCAGCTATTCTCTCTTCCGACGGTACTGTAAGCTCCCACCAGATTACTCTCTTGGAAGCTTTCGAGAAAAGAACCAAATCTGGTCTTAATCTGGTCGTTGCTATATCCGACGGGAATTTCAGCTGCTCATCCAGGTCTGCTAATACTATCCAATCAGTGGCCCCACTCAGAATCCCAAACTCACTGACTTTCGACCTCTTCACCTCCTTAAACCTCCCTCCTGCTGGAACAAACTCAATGGCTTTCCGAGTGACACAAGAGCTCTTCCTCTTGTTGACTGAAATTTGATTTAGGATTAAGTTTTACTTAAAAAGTATTCAATATTCATGTATGTCATATGTTCTCAATTTATTTAGACATTATTAGCAGATCTTGTTTAAATTGTACCCTTCTATTGGTAAACAGATTGAAGATGCGACGGAATGACAGACTGAGCCATGAGCGCCGCCCAGTAAGAATTTTTGAGACCTACCGCGTAATATTTTATTTTATCTATAGCTAGGACGTTTCCCTTTATCATCTTACTCATGCAGTCACAAAAAATCAAACAACAGTTCATTTCAGCTTTTTAATTAGAATCATGGTTATTATTTATAACAAAACTATGAGTATGCCTAACTAAATTTTTCTTCGTTGGTCACTTTATAGTTGATCGATTTCTGAAGAAAAAATTCAAACAAAACAACATAGAGCATTTTAATGTATTCTAATTCTAATTCTAAAAATAAACCGTAGTGAGCCATCATGTCATAATTTATCTATACGGTTAACTTTGAACATCTAACTTTGAACATTTAGAGAAATTGACCATTGTTTATGTTAATGATCTGGCCCGGCGCGCGCTACTTCGTAGCACTTGCCATCGGGCCAACATTTCGAGAAGAAAGCGGCGCGCGCTACTAAGAAATTTAGACGAGTAACATCCGTCAAGAGACAAAGACTGAAATTTAATCTTGCACTTAATTTAATTTATCTTCAAAACTGAGAAATCATCAATTCGTTTCAAAGTAAATCATAAATCAGTAAATCTGTCGAACGGGACATACATTTTTATTCTCCAACATCGACTGTGTTGATCGCAAAATATTTTAATTGGTAACCAAATGTCTTGCAATATTGGATCAATATAAATAACATACACATATTTCACAGTTATGAAAATGCTTACTTCAGTCAAAAGAAACATTCATATGTACATGCCTCCGATTGTTTTTACAATGTTAAGACAACGAACAAGTATCATGAGTTGTCGGCAAGATAAGCCCAAAACTTTTCATCAGCTATCTTTTCTTGAACACACAGTATTCTTCCTCTTAGTTCATGTTCCATTTCTCAGACGTTTTCATATCAATAAGAAGTGCGTCGTCTGTTCATCGAAGACGACGCACTTCTTAAACTTTGGCCATGGTACTGCCCTTGAAACCCTCGATATTATTACTATTTACAGTGTCACCCCGCACCCAACTGCGTTATATATCTTGATGCAAAGAAATATCAAACCACGTGATAACATCACGCGTTGATGACGTCACGTGGTTTGTGATGACGTCACGTGTAACTCAGACATTGTACCCAGCGGGACCATTGCTACTAAACACGTCGCAGTACGCTTGTTTCAGTGCTGATAAGTGGTCCTGAGTGGTGGGTCTAGACCAGGAGGAAAACCCAAAGTCCAGTGGGACAAACAGGAGGTTTGGACACTTCGTTATCTCTTGTGAACCCTGGGGAAATGGTGTCAACCACTTTAGAAACAATGAACGAGACCGGTGTTTTTAGAAAGAAGAAAAAACATTTTGAAAATACATTTCTCGAATAAATGGAAGCTCATTTTTAGCAAATTTTCCAATGAAACTTCAAAATCTACAATTGTTATATAATATACCTTCTGTGGAAGGAAGCGGCCGGGTTCGTCTAAGGACAAGATGGGGTTTTGCAGAGCGACACTGAAGATATTGACTTTCGGATCGTGCAGCTTCTGGCCCGATCTTACGTGTTCCTTGATCCGTTCCTGGAGGATAGCACAGTGTCACTAAACAGTCACTAAACAGTCACTAAACAGTCACTAAACAGTCGCTAAAGTCTAAACAGTCACTAAACAGTCACTAAACAGTCACTTAGCAGTCACTAAACAGTAAACAGTCACTAAACAGTCACTAAATAGTCACTAAACAGTCACTAAACAGTCACTAAACAGTAAACAGTCACTAAACAGTAAACAGTCACTAAACAGTAAACAGTCACTAAACAGTCACTAAACAGTCACTAAACAGTCACTAAACAGTCACTAAACAGTCACTAAACAGTCACTAAACAGTCACTTGACAGTCACTAAAGGGGCACTATACAGTCACTAAAGAGGCACTAAAGAGGCACTAAACAGTCACTAAACAGTCACTAAAGAGTCACTAAACAGTCACTAAACAGTAAACAGTCACTAATTCTTCCTCTCTTACTTTCAGATCGCCCAATAAGGCGTGAAATATTATGCATTTGCCATCTGTTACGGTAAGATATATTGCGGAAAAGTGTCAACTATTTGGCACATAAAAACAAGTACCTCGAAGTGCATGAGAGGAGTAGATTTAGAGTCCTTAGCGGCCATGTTACCAAGACAACCGACAAAAGTCTTGGATTTAACGTGGTCTTTGTTGTTGTCCTCGTAGATATCAACATAGTAACACAGACACCTGAGGTAAATTCAAACATTTTGTGATTATGCTTCAATATTGTGCAGTGGCAACTGCCCCCAGAAATACAGTTTTTACAAGCTATGATTTTTGATTTGAAACTTTTACAAAATAGCAAATATACAAATGTACAGCAAATCGAACAAACATATAAAATGGGCCGAAATGTATAAATGCTATAAAGCGTGGGTCAGTGAAACAAGTTCAGAGGACAACTTTTAAAACACAAGGTTTATGGCCGCCCAAAGTCTCAATAACATCACCTCCACCTAGTAATAAAATTATGAAATATGAAGTGTGAAACAAATTATGAAATATGAAGTGTGAAACAATCAAGAAATAGCTCGTATATAAATTATAAAATTGTCTCTCAAATACAGATAACGTCCGAAAACTATTAAGATACACAATACTCATTCAAATACTGATCAGTGTCCGAGAGACATGAACTGCTTCACGGTGGTTTCTTATCACGGCTACAGACTTTCCCGTACCGGATATAGTGGTCGAGATGAGTTTGTTCAACCCTCTTCTTCTTCAGGTCGGTAACCAGATGTTTCCTCGTTGCTCGTTCTTCGCTAGATCTATCTGGACAGATCCATACACTTTTGTGGGTCTCAACTAGCCTCAGTCTTCCTGTTTTCGTCAGAATCTGTTGAACCGCTGTAGAGCTTGGGACAGTGATCTTTACTGGTCGGATAGTCGTACTACCTGGCCTCTTCCTGCCGACTCTAGTCGCTTCGAAGTGAGGTTTCTCCCCAATCTCCTCCAGAACTGCGGTTACTAGCGCTGGAAGCTGTTCTCCCTCTTCTTCTTTCAACCCAAACACGATCAGGTTCTTGCTCCTGTCCTCCTCTGCAGCCACACTCTTCATCACCTTCTTCAGGATTTTACTGTTGCAGACCGTACCACTTGCACTGTTCTGTTGTATAACAGTTGCACTGTAGCTCTTAATCCCTGACTCCACCGTTGTTTGCACTGTCTTCTTAACCGACGTCTTAAACAACTCTAGTTCTTTGTCCTTCTGCACAAGCAGCTGGCCCTGCAGCCTGATCAACTTATCCTTGTCTTCTAACGCTTCCGTCTTCAAGAAATATATGATCTCCTCCATTTTACCCATCTGGCATTCATGCCGTTGAACGAGGTCTATTGCTTCCACAAGCCGAAGTGCCAGATGCTTTTTATAGACAGTTGGAGCCATAAATATTTCTCTGTCCATATCTCCACAAATATCTCTGTCGTCGATTTTCAGTTCTTTTCCCAGCGTAATGAACCACTTAGTAACACTGTCCTTCAATTTTGTCTGTTCATCATACTCGAATCCTTGAATTTGGTCCAGAGATTGGGTCACCTTACGATCATCCTCCATAATGTACTTGTATAGGAATGTACAAGTACACACGCAAAGGCTAACTACGCGGTAGCAGCAAACTGAACTTATCGCAATTTACAAAAGATGGTATTTGTTGCACTTGAGTGATAGATAACGACCGGTACAAATATAGCAACGTTGGGGCCATTCAAAGAACATGGACAATTGAATTAAAATATCGATGAGGTTATGACTCATGTTATTTGTCTTCAGGGTTTTAGGAAGCTATCTTGGAGCACCAAATGCATACATTTCAGTTAACATCTAATTTTTCAGTAATTGTTTACTTACTTGGAGAGGAGCGGTTTAGTTACAAATCTTTTCATCTCGTTCAGATAAAACTGTGTATAAGACTTTCCTCCGTACAAACAGCTGTACTTGAAGGGGCGTTGGTTGGACATGAGGTCTTTAGCGGCCAACTTCCAGTGAGCTCTGTTCGACTTAGCTATCTCTATCGCAAATCTCAATCTCGGGGATCTGACACAGTTGAAAGTTGTCATTAGCTCAAATTAAATACGAGACTAGAGAACCACTAGGATAGGACAGCTTATTAATATTATAATACCAAAATAGAAATCTCATCAATTCCACTAATTTGAAGCAAGTCATGATGGGTAAAATGTCAGATTGATACAAGCAGAAACCACCTGACAAATACCTTGACATAAGCAGTGCAGAAACCCTCTCACTCAACCACAGCTTGTTGCTATGTCCGTCCCTCAAGTTTATAACGGGTATCCTGATGTCACCACCAGATCTCCGCTTCGCTTCTCTGCTGAATCTGGGAATGTCAACTACCAGCAGGTTACCCAGCTTGGAGGAGTCTAGTGTTCGACTCATTGGACCTGTTGTGAGATAACAATAACATAGTTATGTTATTGCTAAATGCAACGTTTCAAGATCGTTCAGTCCGATTGTGACGGAATTCCAATAATTCCACAATACAAAAACCAACCAAAAATCCATCCGAATCCGAAATAAAATTAATCTTCAACACAGTTATAAGGACCTTTTCGGGAGGGTGATGTCTTGTTTCTGTTGGACACTAACTCTTTGAGCCGTTTCATCCTGATATCTGGCCGGTCAGAGGACAGCGTTTTGAAGACCTGGCGTAGGGATGGTAAATTATTAATTCAAATTGTCTTTTATTCTCCTTTTTACTGAGGATTAATTGCAAGAGTTAGGTTAAAGGGAGGTATAAAAACATAAGTTTAAAACATGATGTCGATATCCTGTAATTCGGGTAATTAAGGGGAGATACACCAAAAACGTTTTTCCTCCGAACATCGATTTTATTTTATATTATGGTTAAATAGACAAAAAGAATAAGATTGCACACCTTCAAAATTTTCTAAAAATATTCCCTCATCGAGAAAAAATATATTTTTCTTTTTCGAAAATTTTAAAAAATTTGAGAAGTCTGTCACTGTAATACCGATAGTTCGGCCATTTTAAAAGATTTTATGCTGGTTTTTTTACTGAACATTACTTACAATCCGTACAAGAAGCCATTGAAAGGATTATATAATTGAACGATAAATAACGAAGTTACAGACCAAACAAGGTCGAAAAAAGTAAAAATTGAAATTTTCCCACTTCTAAAGTTGTACATTTCACCAATCACCCGGGTCAGCAGGTATCGCTTCAAAAATTCTTGTGAGTGTAGCTGATGATCATATCAAACTTTTTGGAGTAGGATTTCTCTCAGATTTGAGTTTTAAGCTATGCAATGTGGCCTCAAACGACTTAGTAAAATTCATCGTAAAAAAGGGCAAAAAAGGCAGATTTAAGGCTTAAAATGCCTATAACTCAAAAAGTGTCCGTTTTTTTTGAAATAATTTTTACAGAATCGTAATCAGCTTGGTAAGTTGAATCTTTTAGTACCAAATAGGTGCTTTTAGAAGACAAATTGTCTTAAATAATTTTCTAGCTCGAACACAAGGGTCCCCCCTTGTATAAATTTTGTACAAATTGTACACATTTTTTTACAAATTTTGTGTCTTTAAATATTATAAATTTGGTACTAAAATATTCAACTTACCAAGCTGATTACGATTCTGTAAAAATTATTTCAAAAAAAACGGACACTTTTTGAGTTATAGGCATTTTAAGCCTTAAATCTGCCTTTTTTGCCCTTTTTTACGATGAATTTTACTAAGTCGTTTGAGGCCACATTGCATAGCTTAAAACTCAAATCTGAGAGAAATCCTACTCCAAAAAGTTTGATATGATCATCAGCTACACTCACAAGAATTTTTGAAGCGATACCTGCTGACCCGGGTGATTGGTGAAATGTACAACTTTAGAAGTGGGAAAATTTCAATTTTTATTTTTTCGACCTTGTTTGGTCTGTAACTTTGTTATTTATCGTTCAATTATTTAATCCTTTCAATGGCTTCTAGTATAAAACATTATCAAGAGAAAGAATAGATACCGTAATATGGTAGTTCAGCTCGTAGTTGCTTCTCAAGGCAATTCTGCTTGGCAGACAGCCAATAAACTTCTTCTGGCCCATAACATACAGGTTCCTGTAGGGCAACATCTTGAAATGAACAGTCTCCGTGGAGCCCACTTCTGGCATTTCACGTCGAAGGGTGGATGCTATCTCATACTCTCGAACTTCTGGGGGCATCTGGGAGAGATATAAGTTATAGAAATTACTTATCAATTCATCAGAAATGCACGTACAACCAGGGGAAATGGTCTCGGAGTTCTCAGTTCTGACGCTTGGTATAAGTACTAATCAGTACTCGACAGTTTAAGTCGCACTATATGAAGAGGATATTACTGGATATTACTAAATATAACTAAATATTACTAAATATTACTGAATATTACTAAATATTACTAAATATTCCTGAATATCACTAAAATATATAACGAGACAGGTAAACTCACGTCGTCTTCGTGGGCCGCTGTTTCCAGCTCCATCGAGAAATCTTCATCATCTGAACTAAGTACTGACAAATTGTCGTCATCTACATCCGTGTAGACACCTGTAATGAGTAATGTATTAGCTTTACAGGATATGGTGCTTGTTGTTAATGTAAACAGGAAATGTGACCATCACATTATGAATATAATCAAGTTTTTGTGTATACCAACTACCAAGTGTATAATTGGATGGATATTGGATAGTGTAAATGTATATTGTATCGTGTACACAGTTATTATTACAGTGTTTCAGGTCTGAGAAGATGTCTATACATTCTGTGTGTATTTTTAAATGTGCTTGTACATTTGTACAATACTGCTTGTTATTGCTCTGCAAGACATAATTTCAAATTCAGTTATATGAGCTTTATAGTGTACTGTGTAGTGTGTAGTGTGTATAGTGTACGCTAACCATGTTTACACAAAAATCAGGTCATCTAATGAATTTACAGATATCACATATCTTTTTTCATATTTTCCATATCTTTGCTTAAAAGCATATTTAAAGCAGCAAGTACAAGTGAATTCAATCATCACAAATGTATAAGTAAGAAGCATGTCAAGATTGCAGTATATTTGTGAAGCGTTAAAATTTTATCACAGGCACATGATTCAATGGGGATAAGCGTAGTATACAACGTATATAAAGCTTCTGATTCAATCTGATGTACCGCCTCCGTAGCTCAGTGGCTAGAGCACTGGTCTTGTAAACCAGGGGTCACGAGTTCAATTCTCGTCGGGGGCTGAGTAATTTTTTATTGCGATGCAGCCAGCATTTTTATGAAAATCAATCAGAAAAGTAACATAGATTACAACGTACACAGAAATTCCTTTTTACAACTTTACAGGGATCAAATGTCACGGAATCACAGTAAACACGCTGGTATTTACCACCCTGTACATTATCAGTATACACAGTACACAAAGTACAGGATATGAGGATACACAGAACATTACTGTCTGAGCTGGGGTAGGGCTGCAATCGTTCTGTATCTTCTCCTGCTGTTTGTTCACTGGACACTTCAGAAGACACGTCATCAGTATCCTCTGTTTCAATTTGTACAGGCCGATATAGAGAGTGTGGCCTGGCCTGACTAAATCGCTTCACCGGGATAGAACTACGTTTTACTGGATCTAAGTTGTCATTAACTGTATGGTTCTGTTCCTGCTTCACCGGAATTGATTCTTCGATAGTTTGCGTTTGCTCAGATTCCTCACAGATGTCGTAATCATATCCCTGAATTACGTCATTCTGCTGAGATTGTTGGGTATGTTCACTTTCTAGTCGGATCCCAACCGTTCTAAAAGGCTATCTCGTTAGCTTTTCGTGTTAAAAGCGATTTCTCAACGGTTATCACCTCTCTAGATGATTCTTAAAACATTTGGACTTCATTGCATTTTTGAAATAAATGCAATGAGGGCGTTTTCGGCCACACCCCTTTTCAGGGTTTCGCGGTCAATCGAATTTTTGTATTTCAGCCCAGGAAGGTTTTAAAGACTATTCCGATACACCAAAATGTGCCTAATAGCCACATTTATATACAACTTATGAAGGAACATATACCCTAAAAGGCTTACTTTCGGAAATGTGGCTGAAAAACGAATTTTTGCCGAGCGAACAAGACAGTATTCACAAATGGGCTATTGGACTGTTAACTAAAAAGGTCCTAAAGAAGATTCATGAGGAACATAGCATTTGTCACAAGATGTAAGATGACTCACTTTGTGTCCAGAAACACCTACAAAAATTGGAGAATGATCTACTTTATTGGGCATCTCTCTTAATGCTTTAATGGGCCAGGACAGCAGCATATTTGTGTCATACGGGCAATTTTTCAAAATTACGGTTTCTTAAGGTCAAAGGATCGGCTGCTAACAGCAAATTGTTCGCAATTGCCGACTCATGTACATCATATACTCAAAAACGCTCACTTTAGGAGTCATTAGTAAATAACTACTACATGATTTGTGACAACCCCAACAATTTTTCCTTGGCACCGATTTAAATAAAATGTGTTTTTTTTTTAATTTGAAAATTCAATTAATCATTATATATATAAATCAAGCGTTACATTTCAGCCATGCAAAATTACAATGACATATTTTGATATACAAATTGATGAATGGTACTGCAATATAAGTTGCTTAATGTTTGGCCGGATGACAACTAACGAGAAAAATAAACTTGATTAAACATAATAATTAATTCGGCTGAACCAACACATAGCTAGAGCCACATTAACGTTGTTGACCAAAATTCAATTTCAAACTTTTTATTTATATTCATGCTATGAAACCATGATATATGTACCAAGAATACCGCACCTAAAATAAATCGGCACTGGATCCGGGCCAGATTGTTGCTTGACAGCTGACCAGTACCCCACTTTAAGTGCCTCGACCAATATTGATCTGTAATCCCTGGATTGAGATCTGTTGGCCGCAGTTTAATTTAGCTAATTTCCTATAATACCGCAGTGGTTTGGTTCTCACTTCAGAATGACCCCATATTCTTTTTTTTGTCGCATAGATTTTCCCATTGTATGATAATGCGTGTCATTCCCTCGTTTTTTAATCAAGTGGTGACTGGCTAGTTCTTCTGTTATTACAGCTGCCTCGAGATCTTATCTGGGGCATGGGCACTAACTAAGAACATTAGAACTGTAATTCTAGAACCTCATATTAAGGTTACTTGGCAGAATAGCATTAGCAGGGTTCGAGATTTGACTGAGGGCATTCAGGTAACATACCAGGTTCATATCACCAGTTGAGGTGGATCTTAATTTCGGCATGCAATGCCTTATAAGTTATAAGCTTATAGTAGGATCACGGGGTTTATATAATAGAAGGTCTCGAGATGCTGATTTAGCTATTTAGGTTTTACATGTGAAATTTTTCCAGCTTTGGGTAAAGTGCTAAAGTGGATTTTAGAGCGGGGAGGGGGTCTAAATGACCAAAATCTGAACGATCTCTTACTTACGGGGCACTAGTACTACGGGACAAGGGACGGATATCGGGCCTAGTAGCTGTTTTCTAATGAGAGGCTGGGGTATGGACCTAGATGGTCAACGTGAGGATAGCATGAGGATTTAGGATGCTCTGCCTGCCTTTCGTGGGGTCTTGTAACCCCGAAAGCTGGTATATCTTATCTAAATTAACCTTGGTTAAATCCCGTGCTGTTTCGAATATATCATTAGATTTAAAGGTCCAATATCAAGCAAAAAAGTCTGATCTCCGGTACTGATGTTACACTTACATGATCTCCGACGCAATGATCTCCGAAGTCCGATCTTAAAGTTGGATCTCAGAGCCAAAAAGAGGAACCTACGCCTTGGTTCCTCTCTTTGAGAGTCAAACAGGAAATTCGGTGTTATCAACTCAAACTCGGATTCGTAGCACAATTGAAAAACCAAAGAATAAAAATCTGAATGAATTTCCCGAAATCCTAAAATTAATATCAGGTTGTATTCGATTCAGTGGCCCAAACTCCAGTTTGGGCTTACGAGACTTAAGTTCAAGTCGAGGAACACTTTGATTAAGCATGATCCTTGTCTAGTTGGAGTTTTCGCACATCATGCATCTACTAATCACTCCTAAACTGAGAGTTTTAGAGTCGAATCTCGAACCCTGCCATTCAGTCAAGTAATCTTAATCTGAAGTTCTAGAATTACAGTTCTAGTGTTCTAGTACTAATGCATTAGTGCCCTAGATAAGATCTCGAGGCAGCTGTAATAACAAAAGAGCTAGCTAGTAACCACTTGATTAAAAAACGAGGGAATGACACACATTATCATACGATGGGAAAATCTATGCGAACCAAACCACTGCGGTATTACTATTTAAATGGTAAATGAGCTAAATTAAACTGCAGCCAACAGATCTCAATCCAGGGATTACAGACCAATATTGGTCGAGGCAGTGAAGTCAATTATAATTATAAAGTGGGGTACTGGTCAGCGGTCAAGCAACAATATGGTTTTATGGAATGAATAAATTAAAAGTTGAATTTTGGTCATTACATTTTGGCTAAATTGGTGCCAATGAAAAATTGTTGGAGTTTTCACAAATCATGCAGTATAGTTAAACTTATTTACTAATCACTCCTAAAGTGAACGTTTTTGAGTATATGATGTGCATGAGTCGGCAATTGCAAACAATTTGCTGTTAGCAACTGACCCTTTGACCTTTACTTTGACCTTTACTAAAGAAACCGTAATTTTGAAAAATTGCCCTTTCGTATGACACAAATATGCTGCTGTCCTGGCCCATTAAGAGAGATGCCCAATAAAGTAGATTATTCTACAATTTTTGTGAGTGTTTCTGGACACAAAGTGAGTCATCTTACATCTTGTGACAAATGCTATGTTCCTCATGAATCTTCTTTAAGACCTTTTTAGTTAACAGTCCAATAGCCCATTTGTGAATACTGTCTTGTTCGCTCGGCAAAAATTCGTTTTTCAGCCACATTTCCGAAAGTAAGCCTTTTAGGGTATATGTTGCTTCATAAGTTGTACATAAATGTGGCCATTATGTACATTTTAGTATATCAGAATAGTCTCTACGACCTTCCTAGGCGGAAATGCCAAAAATCACGGAAATTATGAACTGCGTCAAGCCAAAAACCGTTTTTCGGCCATAATTCCGAAACGAAGCATTTTAAGGTATATGTTGCTTCATAAGTTGTATATAAATGTGGCTATTAGGCACATTTTGGTGTATCAGAATAGTCTTTTAGACCTTCCTGAGCTGATATACAAAAATTCGAGTGACCGCGAAACCCTGAAAAAGGGTGTGGCCGATAACGCCCTCATTGCATTTATTTCAAAAATGCAATGAAGTCCAAATGTTTTAAGAATCATCTAGAGAGGTGATAACCGTTGAGAAATCGCTTTTAACACGAAAAGCTAACGAGATTCCGTTTCGTCCCTGACTATTCCTCCGGTAATGTGACAGAATCATCACTACTTACAGTTAGTTTTTCTTTAGTATTGTCCGCATCTTCTTTATCAAGATTGTTCCCTTCATTTCTAACTACATGCATCTCTCCCCCAGTCACTTTTTCTTTTTTCAGATCCTCCTGATTTCGTAATGTCACTGCCAGGGGATCACCCCCGATTGTCACATTGGGAGCGCTAAGACTAGATAACCTTGAAGTAGAAAGAAAAGGTGACAGGATTGTGTAAGCAAGAAAAGTCCGACTTTCAAGAGGACTTATAAAGAGCGGACTTTCATCATCTGGAGCAGGTTCTGACTGGGTTTCAGATAAGTCAGGACTTCTCAGCAGCTTTACGGGTAGTTCCTGGTTAGTTTCTTCCTCTTTATCGAGAGCTTCACTTTTGATGAGAGGTGCCCGGTTTTTACCCCTTAGTATTATAGTTCGGCTGCTAGAGAAGGAGTTGGATCGAGGAAGCTTTGTCTTCTTTGTCTTGAAGTTGTGATCGGATTGTAAACACCGTTCAGCCTCTTTGAATAAGAACACCAAGTTAGTTACAGTTTGTTAGCCTTATTTTTTGTAAAACTAAAAGGATAAATATTTAATAGCAGAAATTTGAAATCTACCACTCATAATAAAGTAAAAGCTGCATAGACGCTTTAAAAACCCTGCAAACAGAACTACAAACGAATCTGTTTCTTACCATTTGACTTCTTCACGTTCGGAGAAGACGAGCTTTTCTTCACCCTCTTAGGTGGACTTAATTTACTGTTTTCAGTAGGTAAAGGTGCTAGCTCTGCTGATTCATTCAACTCAATAATCTTGGCTGAAATGCAGAGAAACATAGCTAGCTGTTAGCAATAGCAGGGTAAATATGCTTCTGAGCTCTGTAGCGGGCTTAATAGCAAAGTGCGGAAAAGAAAAGCTACTTTATAGCAGAAATAGCGGTATTTTAACATAATTATCAGATTTAGCTCAGCTATATAATTGGCTAGCGTTTGACTAACCCTCGTCAATAGAATGGTTCCCCTCGTGCTCAATGTCCTCCACCTCCAGATCATGTTCATCTATTGCTGGTTCCTCTGTCTGACATGAAGCGTGGGCGTAACGTTTCTGGGCTCTGATTGTGCACGCCTGGGGGGGCAGGTATAGTGATGGATTGGTAGTTTTGTAGTGAAGGATGGAAAACGGTTTTTGTGTAAAGAATTAGGGGATTTTTTGTCATACAGAAAGACGTTGAAGCGTGTTGAAATTTGAAAGAGTTATTATTGATTTAAATGGTTAAATCAGTAAATAATAAACACTCCACTCTTAAGCTTACCTCACAGGGAAGGATAATACCGACATTCTCCTTTTTATTATTCTCCTTATTACCAGAACCAAACTCCTTCCTGTCGTAACCACCCTTACCTAACCTATCTATCAGGTGATCAATCCTGCAAACGTTTAGGGATTAACAATTTGTTTTAAAATCTGAAACTGCAATGACATTCTTAATTGCATGTCAATTGGGAGGAAATATCATTATTTTGTAGGCTCGTTGACTCTGTAAATCCGAGCGTTCTGATAACATACCTGTCAATAACCCCTCCCATCACCATGTCCACACTGTCATCCTGGTGGTAAATACCGTAGTGTGTCATTTCCTCCCTCTTCTTACGGCAAATACCACAGTAGTTAGTCGGACTGCAGTTTGCGTGGTGTGATAAACCTACAGAGAATGTGAGGTTTTAGAGGGGTTTTAGAGGGGTTTTAGAGGGGTTTTAGAGGGGTATAATTGTGGAATGCAAAAGAAATAAACTAAACATTGACATCTCGAATCTAAGCACTGCGTGATTATAATCATAGTTAATTTAAGAAGTGTTTGTTGGTTGAAACTGGATAATAAGTAGCGAACAGTTAACCATGACGAATGAACTAAACCAATGATTTCTACAGTAATTATAGGAAGGATGATGATACCATCTCCGCTGAAACCCAGCTACCTGCAACATTTCTTATTTAAGCCTCATGGCAGGGCAAATCTTAATCTGACATTATATCCACTAAATGTACTAATCTTGTAACTACTTTTCAGACCTTTTTAGACTACAACTATCTATTGATACGATCTTGGAACATCTTGTTCAATTATAGTTGAACAACAACTAAACAGTTTAGAAAACTGACTGGAAAGTGAACAGATTAAACTTTCCAGACAGTTTTCTTCCCAACGTCATCAAAAGCCCATACGCACTGTTTTCTACAACCACTGGTCTAAAACTACTTATCTATAACAACTGCAACTGGTCGGAAAGACAAAAGGCATACTGTAGCCAAAGCCGCTGCTACGAGGACTATTAAAATGTAAATCTATTTGGAATTGTAAACTACAGGGCGGATGAAAAAGGGATAAATTGCAGACGGCTGGAGTATGGTAATTTAACCCAACAACTTTGTTCCAAGATAACGCTACATAAAATTCTGTGACGGTTATATATAAAAGAATCGCACTGTTATCAATCAGACTCGTGTTGCTATGGTAACTAATCACAAAGCGCTTCGATTGATCAACAGAAATAAACAGTAAGTACCGCCACATCTAGCACCTAGGACTGTACGAAATACGAATCATGGAGGTGGGAAAATTCGACCAGAACAGTCCAGCTAAGGTTTAGCGAGCAGCGAATTAAAATCAGCTAAATGTGACGGATCTCAAAGATGAGTCTCAATGATCTGGCGTGAATTGAAAAAATGCAAATTATGAAAACATGCGACGTGACAGTTTTCGATTCATTTAAATTTAATTAATGTCTTTGATTAAATTGTGTGATTTAGGTGATTAAATTATATAATTTAAGCTTCGTCTAACTGAAGGCTCAACACGATTCGGTGAGATTAATGTGAACTCCAGTTCCACCAACGAAGTACAACATATTCTGGCTGTAAAGAAAACATAATAATAATATATCCAAACTCACCTGAGTTGTTAAGAGCGTTAGGCGATGATATCGAGACATTAAGTAATGGAGAATGTGCTCGTTCCTTGACATCTCTTACTCCGTTGTCCGAGTGACTAATAGCGTTGCCATGGTTACCCTCTGCTATTAACCCACCTTCTGATCTCACGCTAGAACTAAGACACATTTTCCCGAGGCTCTCCAGGAACTGAGGTTGGAGGTTCCTCTTGACATCTCGGTCTGTGACACGGAGAGACTTGTGGAGTGATCCGTAGTCAATGTTCCGGACGGGGAGTCCCACTAGGGTCTTTTTGGGTGTTGGTGAACCAGGGTACATTGGGATGCTGAGGAGAGGAGAGGGTAGTTGTTGGGATGTTATTATTTGTTAGTTTGTTACCGATATCACTTGTAGAACAGGGTTAACAGTCTAAATTATTGGGCAAATTTAAATTTTTTTTCAATTAATTTTATCATTTTGGTACATTTCAACATCGATTGATGTCGAAACCTTGAAAATTAAAATAACTTATTACGGAATATGTTGCTCGAATAAACTTTTGATATTCCTGATATGGCATTCAACTGAAAGATGACCTGTCCTGATATCAAGGATTCCTCAATAATCCTCAATAATCAACTTATATATTTAACTGTGGACCCTATGCTAAACAGTCCAGTATCAGTACTCGACAGTGCAACACAACAAACGCAATACAAATAGAAACCAAAACATGGTGCACGATCATTAGGTATAAATCAGTAATAAATTAATAAATTGCATTTACATAAATTATCAATATTTAAACGAGAAAAAACAAACACATAAAGATCGCTGGCATCGGACTTGTTCAAGGAAGTTGTCCCTGATCATGGAATGCAATAAGATAACGAGTAACTGAAAAGAAGGCGGTCCGTTGGCTGGCATCACCCCTTCCATTGTTCACATCCTCTATTACTGCTCTAATTTCACATACATGTATGCAGGAGCTGGATGCGATAACACCGATCAAAGTCTGGTTTGTAATCCCTGATGAGCGTTGCCTGGCAACTAAAAGACAAGGAATTAAAGTATTTATTTACCCTAAGTTTTTATTTTGTATCACTGTCAGTTCATACAGCGGTAATGGTCGCTATGGGATAAGTGGTCTTCTTATTTGGCTGACCAGACAAATGAAGTTCACCGATTGAGTGACACTGTAATTTTTATCAGTGATGGTTCTGAGTGCTAAATGACGGATTCTAACATGAACTTGTTTATAGCTGTGTTAGGAAATCTAAATTTTGTAAACACTTCTCAGTTTGAGTTCCTAGTTTTCATTGGTGATGGGAAGGGTCACGGATTCGTAGCGCTCTATAATGGCCACTTTTGCCGTAATCACTATTCAAAAAGCCGTGGAAAGCAAAAGTGCTCACGTCTATTATTATTAAACTATAACTGTACTTGACAACGGTCTGTTATAATGAATAAACTCTTCAAGATTATGACCACTAAAATAAAAACTATATCAAATCCCGTCAAGATTGCAAATTAAATTTAAGGCTTGGCATGTGACACGTCAAAAATAAAGAATAAAACAAATGACCACTGATAATATAAGCCACAAATAAGTTTTTCACACGACTAAAAATAACCTGATAGAAATGTCCTATGCTACTTGAACACGAGCAATTAGGAAACTGACAAAACTAATCTGCCTGACATGGTCCTGTGTGTCATGCTACTGCAAGCTACATAAGATTTCTAACATTGAGATATGCATGCAACGCCAAGCATCTCAACTATTCTGTGTCCAGGTACTGATAGCTTATTTCGAACTTAGAACTCCGAAACTTTCTATATAGATAAGGATCAAAATGTGAAGTACATTTGCAAGATTGGCTTGTTAGCGAATGACCCAAGTCTGAAGTCCCACTACATTGCTAATCACTCTTACTTTCTATACAGATAAGGATATAAATTACTAATCACTCTCCCAGTTGAAGCTGAACACAAGTGACAGTTCAATGTAATGGCTAAAGACAATTAAAAAGTAACTTTGAGCTTAGTAACAAGAACTTAAGACAGAGTCGCGTACAATTGCAGTGCTTGCAATTACAGTCTGTTACAGTGCAGGTAGTACTCTGAAATTGGACGCCATAAGAACCCCGAACAATTACATACCATGGTCCTATTCAACTTCTAGCTGCGTAATCATATGTGTTCTAATACGCCCTGTAATTACACAATCTACCTTCCTGGAACGCAAATTATTTTATGCTTCAACAAACAAACAACTTAATAAATATTAAGATAACATAACATATTCTATAGAAACGGTCAGCATAATCAAGAATACAGGTGGTCAGTACAGTATAAAACAATAAAGAGTGGGGCCGAGGATCAGCAAATGGGGCAGCTAAACTTGGACAGATTGTATAAGCGAGTACACAAGAGAGAGGTTAATTTATACCGTAATCATTTCCTATTTCAGTATAATTGTTCGTAGCCTCCTTTACGGACTTACACTTGTATGACATGTATTGGAGTGGTTTGTATCTCTCCATGCGCAATTCTTTTCATAACAAGTCACGTGATATTTGATAATGAGGAATTATGACGTAATGGGGGGTATTATGACCTAATGTAACAATCACGATAGAGCATACCTACAAATCACAACAATGGGAAACTTTAGAAGCTTGGCCGTATTCTATCACATTACAAGGGTCTGGGCCGGAATTATTATGGTTAAGTTTGTGGTTCTGAGTAGAAAGGTCCCATGTACTTGCTAGCACCCGAAAACTGATAGATTGGACTGAAAACTAACTGAACTGAAACCGAGGGGTTCCGTTCAGGCCCTTCACACTTTGTTTCTGTCTGGTTCTAATGTACCGTCACAATAGTTACTTTAATATATAACACAATCCGGAACAAATTTTGCTCATATTTATACCCATTTACTTAATATTTACCTAATGATATTATAACCAACTTTTGCAGAGTACTTGAAGCTATCGTCGTCAATATACAAATTAAATTGTTATCTGTTGAACTTGAAGAGCAATTTACTCACCCCATTGAAGCGATGTAAGGTCTATCTGTTTTACTGCAACTGAGGGTGAAAGGTCACGCAGTAGTCTGTGTTATCGAAACGGTCTTTATTATTGTTTCGGTCCTGTGAAAACTGAATAAACAGATCATGTCAGTATAAAATTACAGAAACGTTAAACCCCGATTCACTAAGTACATTATACCCCGACTTACAGTTACCAAAGTCTTTAACAAAAGAAACAGGCGCAATAAATTGGGACACAGCTAATCGGGGTTTCACTGAAGCTTGTGAAATGTATGTTTGACCCGTTATAAGGTGAGACCGGGACTCTACGGCGTAAGAGTAAGACTCTACGGCGTAAGACTCTAAGGCGGCGCCGTATAAGCTGGGACTATACGGCGTAGGGGAGTGAAAACTAAAAATGAAATACAGATCTCTACGGGCCGTAGAGATCTGTATTTCAGTTTTCACTCCCCTACGCCGTAGAGTCCCAGCTTATACGGCGCTGCCTTAGAGTCTTACGCCTTAGAGTCTTACGCCTTAGAGTCTTACGCCTTAGAGTCTTACGCCTTAGATTCTTACGCCTTAGAGTCTTACGCCGTAGAGTCTTACTCTTATAATATTTGCCGCCGTAGTACGGCGGCAAATATTATTTTCCTATTATCGATCAAAATGAATCTAATTCCATATTAAATTAGGATGCCCGTGGTCACGGCTTTTACTAATTTTTGCCCGTAACAGTCCAGGGAAGCATTTTTACCCTACGTCATGGAGGTTGATTTGGAATCAGCGTCCAAAAATACACCGATTTGAGTGACTTTCATAACCCTCAGGGCCTTTTCACATGAGAATTTTCTCCAAATTTGGGCGAGCGATTTAGTGCCAGTGCGTGGTCACAGCTATGTGGCGCAGTTTGTTAGTCTGCTTGCTTGTGAAATGCCTCGCATTCACAATCACAGGGTCCGCTAGCCATGGGATGCCGCTGACACACTGACTGAATAGAACACAGCGGATTTAATTACAATTAAACTTATTTCAAAACGATACTGTACTACTACTATAGATAATGATATTACCGGGTCGTTAATATCATATAAACTTTCAAATGTAAACAATACTGATAGTGATGGCGAGTGTCTTAGAAGTGGGAAGCGTGGGAAGCTGTCAGTCACCAACATTTAATTATCGACACACCCTGTTATGTACAGAGAACTAGATGTTTAAAACAAAACAAAACCATGCTCTAGCGATCTATTTAAGATCAATCCCATTATTAATTCATTATCATTCGATTCCGATTACTTCACCTCTAGCTATCAGTATTGTTTACATTTGAAATTCAATTTTATGATATAACCGACCCGGTAATATTTATACTTATAGTACGGCATACGGACACGGTATCGTTTTGAAATAAATTTAATCTGCTTACGTTGTGTTACAGTTAAAGTCAGTTACCTTATCGGACCTTATTTGGACGGACATTACTTGAACGCTGGAGGCCCTAGCGTTCCTCTTAATGTCCGTTCAAATAAAGTCCGTTCAATTAATGTCCGTCCAAGTTAAAGTCCGTTGAAATTTTTCAAACATTTTTCCATTTCGAACTTTTTGTCCAGAATATGACAACTTTGAGAACTTTATTGTGCCGTAAGTTAACGACAGAAAGGTTCTCCTTGGTCTGCCGGAGGCACAGAAAACTCTACTAGTAGTAGTATATGATGTTTTCAAGGGTCACTTGGCGGAAAAAAGTCAACGAAATTATGGCACTCAACAACATAGTTCATGAACTAGTCCCCGCCAACATGACAAACTTGTTCCAGCCTCTAGATATTACGGTAAATCGTGTTGCCAAGGACATTGTCCGACGTTGTTATAGCTCATATTACTCAGGGGCGGTAATGAAACAGTGCTAGGAAAGCTCCACGTGATGTTAAGGTTAACCTAAAGTTGTCTAAGATAAAACCACTTCACGCCGAAATCCGAATGGCTTGTAAAAGTTAACACTGACATGCAGGACCGGGGTAGTTTGATAAAAAAGGATTCCATATTTTACCAAAACCCATATTCATGGGTAGAGTGGACCGCTGCCAGTGTCTCTCTTTCCCAAACAAAAGGAAATGATATTAATTTGATTGACCGTTCTCAAATGCAAAATGATACCGAGAATGAAATCGGTCGCTCGCTTTTTCCATTCATTCACGGCTTACGAATTGTAATAAATTTCGATTGATTACATCAGTCAGATGCTGTAAAAATCTCTTTGGGTTGCGTTCGGATCGATACCTAGTATTTCGGGGTAAGGGTAGTA